TATATATATATATATATATATATATATATATATATATATACATAATATATATGTATATATATTTTTCTATATTATTATTACTTTATTTCTTTTTTAATATTCTAAGAACATTTTTATAGTATGCCAAGAATATTATAAGAATATTATTTTAATATTGAATAATATTCATACATGGTCTGCATGTTTTGTCTAATTGCAGAGACTCGTGAATTAATTATTTGCATGTGGGTCTCACAAGATTCACATCCGTTCCTGGTCCCAAGTGTGTCGCAGCGTGCGCTTGACAGCGATAGCCGTACACGTTACTTCACACCAACGAGACAGAAGAGCACCCTCGGGATGAAGGGTTGCGGAGACGTGGCCACTCTCCGAACTATGGTATGCCGAAGTATGGTTCTTCTTTTTTTTTCAAAACACTAATCCGGGAGTGCGTGTTAATTTGTCCTAGAAGCGAAATGTGGCTTGCGTTATGATAGTGGATTAACTTTCATTCATTATCAAATCCGAGAGAGAGAGAGTATTTCGGAATTATTGATCGTTTTGTTTTGAAAATACAGTAGCGTTAAACTTATAATTTATAGTAATACTCGAAATATATAGATGCATATTTAAACACTTATATACTTCTTTCTATTATTTATATGTCTCCATTGAATCAACTGACGCATAAATATTAGCGCTAATAAAAAAAAAATAAGAGGCAATAATATTTTCATATTTATAATATTGTATGTATACGTTCACCTCAACTTTGCTTCAAATTGACATTTATTATTTAGATAGCGAAATGAAGGTATGAAAACAATTTTGCTTAATAAATATTAGATTTATGAGTGGGTTCCCTTAATGCGCCACTGAAGATACACCTTACAAGCTTCTCGATGAATAATAAAAATTTCCAGCACCAATTTCCGTTCAGTAACCTGCCGTTTGATCGAAAAACTCGTGATATCTATCTATGTTGGCAAGATAATGCAGACGACATTTGACTACACGGCAACGATTAATTTAATCGGGGTTTTCACGCGAGTCGCCCTAAAAGACAGATATTTCGAGCAGCGAATTGCTTTTCACTGCTACTCACTTTCCATTAAATGATTAACATCTCGTGTACTCGTACAGAGTAACGCATGACTTGGGTAACGCCGGTATCTCGCCGTACAATTGTCAAACTAAGCGGGAAGTACGGTAATCAGATTTCATTGTATGAGACGAGGTAACAGTCAGGCATTCGGAGTCGCGGGAATGGAATGAAGTGGATGACCTAATTTTCGAGGAACAAAAGGCTACACAAACTCGACGCATCAAGGAATGGCGCCGAGGTCTCGACAGGGTCGCCTGACCTTGGCTAAGGTTACCTCGCCCACATAGAGAGAAAGACACTCACACAGAGACACGTTGGTGGTTGGTGTGACGGTCGATTAGCGAAAAATATATCGTGTATTTTCGTTCATTAATATTTCATCGAATACAAAAAGTTAGAAGCTATTCTTATTTAAAATTTTATCTCGTCACTTACTCATACATATACAGAGCAACGCGAGCGTTTCTTTCCAATCGATCAAACGTTAAAACCTCGAGCGGTAAAATTTTTACATAATATACACGTATACACGAAGCGAGTAAAGTATTATTTACAACAAGTGATGATGCCAACAATTCGTACTTTCGGATCGTAGAACAGTCGTGATCGCAACTAGGCGTCATGGCTCAGTCTATACATCGTAATCGTTGCAAAATTCAATCTCGTGATATGTCTCGGCTATCCAGCCTAGAAGATATTTGATCTTTTCCGTCGCCTCGTCGGTAGTCTTGTAATCTTCGATGGCCTCGGTGAGACATTTTGATAGGAGCTTCAACAAAGGCTGCGAACGGGAAACTTCGTATTAATATTCATAATCGCAGAGACACGATTAACAGCGCTCGATTATAAAAAAAGAGAGAACAAACTGTTGGACGAAACAATAAAGCTTATTTGTGCAATAAATATCAAGCAACACTCAAAAAGTTCGCGGGATGTTTTATATACTTTTTTAAAATAATATATATATCAAGAATGCGTTTTTGTTTCCCTTTTCGTTTGTACGATTCATTTAACGACGCGCATCGCATCGTGTACTTACTTACCACAGGCCAATCTTGCCTAAATAAAGCCACACACTGGTCACTCAGACTGTCTCCGTCGAGTATCTTGGCCTCTAACAATCTCCTCAAAAATTTGCCATAGATCGGCCACATCGTGTCGTTTTCCGGCTGCGCAAGCAACATGATATTTCTGGGACAAAACAGCCTGTGTATGGGCGAGTCCGCCTGGTCGTCTTTCAAACAGTCCAACGACCAAATCTTGATTAGTTTATCTTGCACCTCTCGTACGAAAAGGTCCGTTCTGTATGCGACTGAGAACGAAAATAAAAGAAAAAAAAAGAAAAATATCCAGCCATCAGACAATTTTATTGTCTTCTGTGTCTTTTTCGTACTTATTAGACGTACCTAAAAACAAGGAGAAGTCAATACTGAGGTGATACAGAATTTTCTCCGGTCCCGGCAACAAATCAGCCCTGTCATTGAACGCACTGTACAGTTTGTCTAAGATATCCAATATCAAAGGTACAGTCATACCTTCGCCTCGATTATCTATCATGTCCCATACTAATTCCTACGGGAATGAAAAGGTTTGTAAATTATCTACATACAGGGTGTTCTATTTTAATCTATCACGCTCCTTTTATTTTCGCAGAACAAGGTCGAATAAAAAAAATATGTTCGGATAAAAGTTGTAGGGTTTGGTGGGGTGATATATATATATATCTAGATATCAATAAAGGAACAAAAATTTAAAGTCGTGAACTCTTTAAAAATATATTCAAAGATATGAATCGACTTTCTAATTCAGAAGATATAACGCACATCGCGCGCATTAACTTTAATTGTAATATCACAGAAATAAAGAACGATAATATGCAGCAAATTTTTATATCTCTTGGTTAATTCAAGTTAGGAGGAAGCTTACTCTGAGCTCGTCTATCACGACAGTAGGACTAGGAGCATCCGAATTGTGACGTTTCTCCTGCTTAGTGTGCACCGGACTGTTGTTCCGAAGGAATCTGTTGATCTCAAGTTCCATGTCTTTCATGAACAAAGAACCACCGACGATATGTGACTGAATCCACTGATATATCCGTTCCATAGCTATCCTAGTCGTAATTTTCGTGCACATCTCCTTAACCGGCGCCAAAGAGTCTTCCGCAAGCAGTGATTCGATCGACGTTGCGACTCGCGCCTCGCAAATGGCTGGAATCATTTTCTCGCATTGTTCCTTCAGCTCCTTCGACACATTATTGGCCAGAGTATTCATGTCGCTCGCCAGAAGATCCTTGAATATTAAGGCAAGTCAAGTCAGTGTGACAGCAGTCGTTTACTTCGTACGTAATATAATGTTATACTACGTTATATAAATCCTATGCAAATCATCACACTATATAACATAACATTTGATATTTTAGGAATTCGCAGTATAGAGAAACGCTTAAATTGACTTCTGAGTGCCGCTTCCTTCATGGATTTGTTCCCGACGTTTCACAAACACTTTCAGTTCACTTCTTCAGGATAATCGGTATCAGGTCGTTTCCGAGGAAGCGAACTGAAATATTCACGAAACGTCAGAGGCAAATCCACGAAGGACGCGGCGCTAACTCGGAAGACGAATTAAATAACATGATAAGATATTGCCTTTCCGAATAAAATCTGTCACCTTAAATCCATTGATCCAATTCACAGACGACTCGCTCTGACCCTCGGAATCTCTCTCGACGTGCACCTGTTTCAGGATTTTTCGAAAAGCACTCAAATTAGCTTCCCGCGCGGAAGACAGCATCGTGTTGCATATGTGCTTCACGCAGGTTGATGCGACCCGGTCGGAAACGAAATCGACAGTTTTTCGGGTGGAAGCCGGCTGGCCGTGGAAGAAAGCTTCTTCCAGTTGAAGCTATCGATAATATAAAAATGCCGATCGTCCATAAATATATAATACACATGGAAAACCCTGTACAATTTTAGGAGTACAAAGAATAGGTAGCGAATACCTCCAAGTGTTTGGCGCGTGTGCTGCCATTTAATTTGCGCAATTGACTGGTGATGGGTGTGACGTGCTTGTTGGAACCGATATTTAAACTCGTGCCGTTTCCGTTGAACACGGAGATCGTGGAGTCCGTCCGCGGGCAGCACATGCGCATCGTTCTGTCGGTGATTATGTCCAGCTTGTCCAAACTACACTTGACGGCACGATTGTCGGTGACGCAGTGAGAGTTCCTCTTCTGCACGGAAGACTTCTCCGTTTGTTTGAGAGTTTTCAGTTCCTTGACTTTGCAGGTGTTTTGCCAGGCGAGGCAGAAGTCCTTGGGGAAATTCGGCAATTCGAACAGCCAGCACAGACTGGATTTGAGTAGCACGGCCGCTTGTTGGGAAATCAGGCAGTCGGGAGCGGAGAAATCGGTGCAATTGATGGCACAGTAAATGCAATACAGCAATTCTAAAACTTGCTTGTAATACGGCAACCGAAGCGACACCGCATCCATCATGGCTAAATACTTGACCATCCAAGGTATCGTCAGCGAGAGTTTACCCTCGATCACGGCGTTCTGGAGACACGCTTGCAAATTTAACGACGGTAATACCTGGACAACGCAACGATTCGGAAGGTCGGTATTAAAAATTTCGTGCGGTCCATTTTCGATCGTCGTAATTTCTATCGCATACCTTGCTTCTTATGTCGACCTGCGTCATTATTATCTCTTTGGTGGTGGATTCAGATCTGTACGGCAATGATACTAGAAACCCTAATACTTTCGCGAGTAGTCTCAAACTGGACAAGCAAGTGGTGAAGTTCTGCTGCGTTTGCTCGTCAACCATTGTCTCTGCGTGAAGAGGTGAGGCACAAATTATATTAATTCTAATCACTCAAGTGTGTATTATGGAAATAATTATGGAAATAATTATGGAAAATTACGGGTTTACCTGAGTCTTCGATCTCACTGTTAGCGAATTGGTTGTCATTTAACTCCATTATCTCGTACACGAAACAATTTTCCAGATGGGAGTAAAATATCGGATTGAATGCGTGCAGTATGAAATCTTTGAAAAATTCCTGCATGCCGGGAAACGAGGGGCCGACATTGTGACCTTGCGACGGTAAGGGAGTCACGAATCTCTTGCTGAGCTGCGTCAATTTCTCAGGATTAATGTGCTTCAAAGTTTTCAAGAAATTCAAACTCTCGTCGTCCACCACGTCATCCTATGATGCAAATAACTCGTCATTCGATTATCCGAAAATCTTACGAATAAACGCAAAACAGAAATGCCTTCAAGTTTACCTGATGTCCGTTCTGTATACACGATATCAGTAGCTGAGACTTAAATAATCTGGCAATGTGATAATAATTAGTGGAGTCGTTGTGTAACGTCAACATAGATCGTATCTTACTGCCCAGAGCGATCTGAAACACCCATCCCGGCACCAAGTGATTCTCCTCCCAGATTCGCAGTATGTCGTAGAAAGCGTCCCTCTGTTTTCTGAAGGTTTGAAATGCGAAGGAGGACGAGAAGTTCTCGCGATTGTCGGTGTCAATTTGAAAACACACATTTATCTCTCCCATCGCGCACCAGGAGCTTCCGAAAGCTGCAGAGAGCGCTGACTATAAACAATATCAAAGGAATTCGGTTCAAATTCGTTCGAGTACGCGCGAAATCACAACGCTTGCGACGCTAATTCGCTCGCAGATTTTCAATTACAATTCTCAATTACCTGCGGGGTCAATTATAATATCTCGTTCCTCTCCGTTAAATACCTCGACATCCCTCGTGAGGATGTTCCTGTTCTAGTTTGAAGGTTAGGTCAGGTTGCCAAAACATGGAGAATTTGAGGGAAGTATCGCCAGAGCGAGCGAAGTCCTGCGATCAAACGGGAAATGCGAGACGTGTGATTATTATTTACGTGATCTTTAATCACGCAACACGCATCTTTCGTGTCGTTGAAGTAAATCTCGGCATACGGGTGCACGTCACCGCGTCTTATCTCTCTCTCTCTCTGACACATCAGGGTTAGGTTGCGAAACAGCCGTTTCGCAGATGGCGTTCGATCTTCCGAGCACATAACCTATAAACATACATGTGTACTTTTTCGATATTTCTCTGTACTTTCTCGAAATATTTATCTCTCTCTCTTTCTCTCTGTCTTCCACCAAACCATAAATGTGCATTTATTTCATCTCACGTACAGAAAATGTAACATATCGCAGTTAAGAGGAGAAAGCTGACAAAATATATTCGTAACGATCGAATCCAGCCGAGAAACAACTCCGTTGTATCACTAATGCGTGTAATCGACCACTCATAAAAAATTCTCTCTCTAACGTTCTCTCTAAATGTTCTCAATCCATGACCTGAAAAAAGATAGCGCCATGTTCGATTTCAGAGTCGCCGACCGAGTGAAGTAATCGAAAGCTTCGGATCTCGTGAGAAAGCGGAAGGAGGAACGACACGTGGATGAACGCGAGAAGATAATCAGCGCGCGCGCGTGAGGTGATCAGCAACGACGACAATTCGGCCGAATCAGAGACAGAAGCAGTGCGTGGTAACTGATAAAAAAAGAAGAGAGAGTCACAGCACATTCAGAGGCCCGCTATCGATACTCCCATTGTCACACGTCGGTGTATCGATAGCCGCGCCAGCCGCGTCGCGCTACTCCTGACGGAGAAGTGGCAAGTAGTCGATGACGACGATGACGACGCTGTGTCGATCGTGCGATCGCAAAATATAACCTCTCTCCGCGTAAGATGCTACTACTCTTATCAGTGTATCCGGAGGCAACGTTGTTTCGAGAAACCTGATCCACGATTTGATCCACGATCTTCTCCTTCTCATATCATCATCACCACCACCTCTCTCGGCGACTGTTGTTGAACCGACCGCAATTTGCCGCATCATGAAAGTGATCGTGAAGAAGCTGCAGGGGAAAGAATGCGTCGTTGATGTGAGTATCGGAAGGCGCCTTTGTTACTCGTCTTTGTTTTTCCGTAGGTTGACGATTAAGTTGAGTTCTTTGTGTCTTTACGGCCTGGATTTTTATCACTCGTGACATTAACATCCTAGAATTAATATCTCGAGTCGATTGGCAATTGACTTGAGAAAATCTCATCGGATCACGAGGAATCACGAAGGTGGTTCTCGTAGCTCCTTCAAATTCGTCGTCTTTGCGATCTCGATAATCTCGTTTTCCGTCTCACAGTTTAGATGTTTAGGTTATTTTCATATTCTTCTGAGAATTCCCTTGTGGCACAACTGGCATTTGCGTTTTTATTGTTGATAAATAATATTTTGTACACATAAATATGTATTATACGACAATCGGTATATTGGTGTATATTTGTAATTTCAGATACTGCCGACAGAAACAGTGTTGGAATTGAAGCACAAAGTAAGCGATCTGTTAGGCATCGATGTTCCCCACCAAAGACTGTTACTTACTGGCAAGACTTTGGCCGGTAAGGATTACGTTTATCAAGTTATCCAGCATCCTACAGTCCCTGGCCATATTTTATTAGATGCACCTTAGTTTTTCACATTCTACTGACTTTTAAGGAGCAGCTTTGTAATATCGATCGAATTATGTTAAGGAACTGTTATTCTATAAAAAAATTTTTTTTTTTAAATGATGTCACTTTGCTCCGCTGTTACAATGATCTTGAACAAGTGTAAACCTGCGCTGGTTGCATTGCTGATAATAACAGCAACAGACGAGTGTTTGAATGTGTGTCAATTGAAATTCAGTTTTATTTCTTTGTTTATTCGTGACTTGAAACCTCAAATTCCCCGCTAACGGAAAAATAAATTCTTGTGCGAAAAAATATTGTTAATATTGTTTACGAAAATTATGGGTGAAACAAGTGATTCGACACATCGGAAGGTTGCAGAGGTAAAAGCACCGATCGACGTTGAAATTTATTCTAATCGAGTAAATATAAAATTAGTAGCTCTTCTCCTCCTAACCTGTATTCTATTAAAGGATGAAAGTACGTCTAATAATATGGCCAGGGACTGTACATATCTATGTGTGTCCAGCTATAAATGTTACATATGTCAATGTAATGTAATGTAATTTCAGATGAGAATCCATTGAGCTTTTATCCGGGAATCAAGGATGGCAGTAAGTTAAACCTGTTGGTGATAAAGAAAACGGAGGAGGGTTCCAGCGAGGCTAAGGGCTTGCAGCAGAAATCGGGCACTCAGCTGCTAAGAGACGAGGTTTCCCGAGTGTTGAGGCATTACTACACGGTATCAGAGACGGAATCCATAGTCAATGAGCTGATAAAGGACCTGAAAAACAAAGTGAATAATCTTAGTTACGATGATTTAGAGAGATTAGCCACGGCGTTACTTCAGGACCAAGAGAACGTAGCTTAAGTATATATACCATCCTATATCGGATTATTCAATTCCGCTTTATTATGGCCGATATCATCGTATAATATGAGTTTATTTAATTGATCACGTCGCTTTGTATATTACGCTCTGCCGTTCTTGCAATCGGCAGTATGAATCGGGGGGAAAAATTGCGCGAGTATAAATGACAGCGAACCAACGTTCAAACCGGAGAACGCAAAACCTTCGCGAAATTCGAAACTTCAGATTTGAAAAAAAAAGAAAAAAGGCGCATCATACTGTGTTCGTTTATTGAAATCATCATCATCGTACACGGATAAATATATATATATATAAATATATATATGTATATATATATACATATATATATATATATATATAGGATATAATTGCGTCGCGTCGCGCGTGCACCCCGCGGCTAGTCGAATGTACAGTCGGATGAATTCAACGTCAAGGATCGGCCAAGTCCAGTTGACGGAAGTATCTCGCCACCAGACAGATGAATAAATTCAGCGCCCCGAGCTCCTGCGCGTCCAGCTCCCTCTAGGAAAATTGTGTGTGAGAGAGAGAGAGAGAGAGAGAGAAAAAAAAAAGAAAAGTGAGCGAGAACGACGTGAGCAGAGACGTGACCGAGACGTGATGAGAGAGAGAGAACTTTTTTGTAGATATACGACAAGACAGAGACTAGCTTAGGATATATATTAGAAGAAAAGTTCAGTCCCCTTATTTTCTCAGCCTTTTTATAATTCGATGAGCGCGAATTTTTTATTATTATCCTCGGACCTTTTTCTAACAATGGAGAGATTGCAACAACAACAACACCTGAGCAGATAGGAAATTATGCAATAAAAGCGTTTTGTTAATAGATATATACACATTCGACGTTTACCCTCCCCCCCCCCTTCTTTTCTCCACCCTGTCACTTTGTCTGCCGGCGATACCGTCGAGATACATCGAGCGAAAAAATTCTCGCGAGAGAAAAAAAACCAAGATCAAAGGAGACCAACTGAACTTTTCTTTGCGGTACATCAATGCCTTGGAAATAAAAGGGAAAGAGAAAGCGGACCGACACTGGCCGATTTATTTATTTCCAACATATCGATGTACCGATCTACTTCGATAGAGCGATTAAAGAAGCTTTATTACGGAATTGGCGCGGATGACGGAACATATTCGCGCCAGCGAACGCAGGCAAGAGCAGGTGTCGGGATTCAACGGTTGCTCCAACATCACGAGCAACGTGTAGATCCACCGGCCCGTTTTGTACTCGATTTTCCTCTCGGTCTCCACAAAGTGCACGAAATATTCCAGTACTTGCTCCACGGTCGGTTGGTTGAAACAGAACAAAGTGTTCAGTGTCGGTTCGAGTTTCTCCTCGCTGTTACATCCTAGGCATAAGTTGATCCAAGTACTTTCGTCATTTATGTCCGGCTGCAACATTGAAGCAAGAGAGCAAGACGGAGAAAGAGGATTAGTCAGATCAGAAAAAGTATTTTTATATCTCTCTTTAAATACTTCTCTCTCTCTCTCTCTTTCTCTCTCGTGGCATCTTTTTATACCCTTCAAAAATACTTCCATTTGATTTTCTAATTAAAAATCAAACATATACAATCCCTGGCCGTATTATTATGTTCCTTGACATAATTCGATCGATAGACGAGCCGTATTATAAAGCTAGTCCTCGGAAGTTAATGAAATGTAGAAAATTAAGGTGCGCCTAATAATATGGCCAGAAATTGTATAATGCTATAAAAAAAAAAAATATATATATATATGTACCAGATGTATATCGTGTGGTTCCCACTTGCGTTTGTATGTTTGTATTTCATCTCTCAGTTGGTTCACGTATAGTCTCATTTCGGAGAAATCTGAGACCTGATACTGTTGCCACTCCAAGGTCGGACTGAGCTTCGGCGGTGCTTGTACACATCCTGCTAACTTTTACAGTTACATCAGTAGCAGTGCTTTAATCGTCCGATGAATTTTTGAAGATGCACGACAAGCAAAAATTAACTTACAGGTTCAATGTAACTCCTCGTAGGTTGTTTCACACACAGTGCGTCCACATTGGCCGCCACCACCACGTCGGCGCATTGTTGGGCCTCTATTCTGTGATATCAACATAATTTTTCAATCAACTTATCGTTTACCAGCAGTAAGAGCTTTCTTCTTCACCTCTTCGGCGACATTTTAATGAAATAATAAACGTACATTTACGTGTTTGTGAAGGAAAAAGAATAGATTATGCAAACGAGTGAAGTAAACGCGGATGAAAAACCTTCTACGTATCATGCTTTCTCGCAATTACAATTTTCACCGCTGTTGTTACTCACATCACTCGTTTGATGTATTCTTCCCCGGAGGAAGGCGGCAACGAGAGGTTAACGTTCTCATCGATATCCCCGACCATAAATACCGGCTGTTTTAGGCAATCCATCGTAATAATTCAATACTCTCGCTCTTCGGTCAGGAACTTCGTGACTTCTGACTCCCGCGGAATTATAAAATTTAAATTTGCGACCGGATTCGCGTTATTATCAACGGTGTACACATTATATTTACGGTGACTGCGGCAGAGGTTTCCGGGAAAGCAGATGATTTACCAACTGCCGATTGGTCGCAGCACACAGCTGAGAGAGAGAGAGAGAGAGAGAAACGGCTGTCTCCTCGAACGCGAATGAGAGGATCGATACGCCGAAAAGTAATCAATTCACGATGATGATGCAGACGAGATTCGCGAGTGACACGAATCCGCGGAATATCTGTTTGAAATGAACGATCAAAGGGACTAATGAGAGCGAATTTTCATAATGTACATACGAGAGAGAAAATAGCGCTCTGCGTTGCGTGTACAACAGCGCTGCGCCATTCTGCGGCTTCGCGCAGATTTAAAGCTCTAATTCCACGCAGAGCGAGTCTGCGGTTTAAGGTTAACCTCGGTGTCGGTGTGTGTTGTGAGACATTTTTACTGCCGGATTCCACCCCGGTGAAAGGCGGAGGGACGCGTTGAATCTCGGCGAGATGAGTGAGAACACGGATCGGCTGAGCAAGTATCCGAAGCACTCGCTGAAAACAATGCCAAAGTCGAACGTAAGAGAATGTTTACGTGTTTTAGAGCAACGATTATCCTGTTAGTCGAGTCCTCGAGAAATCCAGTCTAGCTGTCAGAATATCCAATCGAAGCGTGTGCGACTCGATAAAAGACGTCACCTTATTCCTTGCTTACAAAGTACGCACATAGGTTGACAATGTTAATGTTGTCCCGAGTCTTTCGGTAATTGAATATGTGGTTAATTTCAGACGTTACGAATTATCGATTTTTCGAACGATAACAGGTAATAATAACGTCTAAAATTAAGAGGTGCACTCGGGTAATCAAAATTGAAACAGGTGCTGGACATTTATGAAGTCATTGGAGCAACGATGCTATCAGTCAGACTACTGAGGAATCTCTGGAAATACCAGACGTACCGGATATTTAGTCGAACACGGGCTTTGATGAAACGCGTCACCTTAAGCATAGTCTACGATAACCAGTGGGAGTATGTTGTTTACAAGAAGTAAGAATAAGAAATCGGCCGGTCCTACTCGAGTATAAAAAGAACAGTCTACTGTGATTGGTTAATCTTTTATTCATACTTCTTACCGATATACTCTTACTATCTATCATAGATCACGTTTTATCCTTAGTTCACAAAGTATACGCGAACGTCGGCAGGTGTTGGAGTGCCGGGTCTGCGAGGAGGTATTCTCGGTGGACGGCGTCAAGGTGCCCCGCTTGTTGCACTGCGGTCACACGGTGTGTCACTCCTGTCTGCTGCAGCTGAGGACCTGCATGTCGGACCAGCAGTTCCTCCTGTGCCCGTTCGACCGGCAGCCCACCAGTATACGCGAGAACAGCGTTTACGGCTTGAAGAAGAACTTCGCGCTCATCGAGCTGCTGGAGAGGCTCGAGCAGTCCAGCAGCGAGAAGAGCCTGGTGCTGGAGCGCGAGAGGCTCCAGTCGAATCAGCTGTGCGACGAGGACGAGGCGCACACCGCGGTGCTCTACTGCACGGTATGCGCCACGCATCTGTGCGAGGCCTGCGACACCGCCACCCACTCGTCCAAGACTCTCGGCAAGCACAGGCGCGTGCCGCTGTCGGAGAAGCCCTGCGAGAAGCCCCGCTGCCCGATACACACCGCCCACGTCGCCGAGTTCACGTGCACCCAGGAGGGCTGTCACAACTCCCTCATGTGCTACCTGTGTAAAGAATACGGCAAGCACAGCACGCACAAGGTAAGATAAACGGCGCCGCTCGTCTAGATAATTTTTCAGATGACATCCTGTAAAGGGTAGTTCAAAATACGATAAACGGCCGTTTCATCTGCACCAATCTGATAATATCGTTGCTGGTGTTGCAGCCAGCGTTGATGGAGGAGGAAGCGGAGAACATCAGGAAGTCCATTATCGCGGCGTTGCAAAAGATGACGCAGTTTATGGAAAGCATGAGAGACACCGCGCACAGAATAGGTAAACTCTTTCGATCGATAGCTTACCTCTACTGAGGACGTTTTCCCTGGTGTTTCAGAAATAGTCACCGAGGAACTGGAGGGCTGGGCGATCGAGGACGCGAGACGGAGGGTGCGGTATCACTTCGAGGAGCTACGAGCCGTGTTGGCCGAGCAGGAAAAGACGGCGATGGCGTACGTCGAGACGGAGACCCGCGGCAGACTGTACGCGCTTAGACAGCAACAGAAGGATCTCACCACCACGAGGTCGCAGGTAGCCGGCGTCTGCATCCAGTGCGAGAGCATACTCGACTCCGAGGACTGGAAGTTGCTCAGCAGCTCCGAGAAAGTCAAGGAGGTGCTGGCCACTTTGGAACAACAGCAGCAGCATTACGCGCAACTCGGCCCGGATTTTCTCAGCCCCGAGTCGTCTATACCCATCATCTTTAGCCGAGTTCGTAACGATTCTTTGTGACCAATTGTATATAGTCGAAGTCACGTGTGTCCTACCATTCTTTGGACGGAGATAATCGCATAATTTTCAGCCTTAGAATCTGCAATAAGTGCAGTAAGCCTTTAACCTTTTGCTTTTTAAATACTAAACGTGTAGCTGTAACAATACGATTATAATGGCTGTGATTGTATGCATTTCTCGCCGAGGCCTGAATCACATGATTGAGGTAGATGTATAGCTTTTTCCCCGATTTGAATTTCTTTCACAACTTGGCAGGATAACAGGATACACATCGGAACGAAGATCGATATGCGCGTGGTGATTCTGGGGCTGGACGGAGCGGGGAAAACGAGCATCCTGTCCGCGATGAGAGGCGTTACGCTGTCGGATCCGCCGATCCCTACGATCGGCTTCAACGTTGAGAGCTTGGAGTACCAGAATCTCGTGTTCACTCTGTGGGACGTCAGCGGCCAGCAGAAGTTCAGACCGCTGTGGAAGCACTATTATCACAACACGCAGGCAGTTATCTTCGTGGTCGACGCCGCCGACAGGTCTCGCTTCGAAGAGGCGCAGAACGAATTGTCCAAGATACTCTACGAACGTGAGCTGAAAGACGCACTGTTTTTGATCTACGCCAACAAACAGGTGAGTTGAACGCCTTCTGAACGTGCGATAATATTAATCATCTGATGAGTCATATTCCATATATTTTACATATTTTTCAGGATGTCGTGGGTTGTGCGAACGTCGAGGAACTCACCGATATCCTCGGTTTGCATAAACTTTGCTGCGCGAGAGCTTGGCACATCCACGGCTCGTCATTGGTCACCAATGCCAGTGGCGCGTTGCAGGGCCTCGATTGGCTCACGCAGCAACTCGGTACTCACTGGACCGAATGTATATAGAGCGTTCCTCCCCATCTCTCTCTTTCCTTTTTTTATATAAAAACTTAGGAGCTATTTATGCGCGAGTATCACGAGTCGAGAAAAGACACGTTTCACTAATCAGCACGGATTCTATGCGAGCGGTGAGACAGAGCAGATTGAAGTTCGGTAGATAGAAGTCGCGTAAGTAGACTACACAGATCGGCATCATAGCCTTGACACATCAAATTATAACTCACTCAAGTGTAATTATACTTGTAAACATTGTAACTTGTAATTCTTCCTCCTTTCTTCTCCCCCGAAGCTCTTCGGGAGAAAATTCGAACCAATCACCGTTGACGGATCACTCGGCCGTTGTTTTTTCTGAACGTATAATCTGTGCTTGTGTCGATACACGCGATACATTGATATTTACAATTCGACAGGCTCTTGTGAAGATAAGGAGAGAACGAATGTTAATATCTTTTGATTGTCGCGAAGCGACAGAATACAAGCGAAAATAAACAATTTTTGTCTCTTGATATTTTTTCTTCAAATTGATAGAATTCGAGTAAAAAATGATTGAAGAACAAATAATTTGCAGTTATTTTTATAAATATGTTAAAAAATAGAGGTCGTACGAAAATATTTTTCAGTCAAGTTGTTTTTTCTTACGTAGAATAAAATTCTGTAATAAAAACAAAATATAGGTTTCCACTTAAGAAAAAACAAAGTTGACTTTGAAATGACATTGAAAATGTCCACGCATTATACTTTTATCTATCAGGTTAGAATATGATAAATAATTGAATAATTGTTAGGACATCCTGAATATATAGCCTAAACATGTATAATTTAGAAGTTATAACCAATTTCATGTGTTAAAGCTATTTATGCCTGTCTACGCAATATGTATCGTCATTTTAGTTTTCTACTCATAAATTAAATTGTAACTGTAATAAACTTCCCTCAATTCGTTCTGTGAGAGCGTGTAGAATCTTGATAGAGATTTAGGAATCCATTGCATTGCGCGTATCCGATTGTCGCGTTGGTGCAGGAATAAGATTTGTCCTATCGAGAGATCTATCACTGCAAAAAGAAAAACACACACATCGCATCGCGAGACACACAATTATTGTTCGAGAAAAAACATGACTTCGCTTTATTTTCCGATAATATAAAAACGCAGCTACAAGACGAACCATATTCGAGCGCGCGATATACAATAATAGCGCAAACACGTATGTATGTACATGTACAATCGATTGGAAGCGACTTGCACAATCAAGTAAAATACTATAACTACGAGTTAACGAACGAAAGGAAAAAAAAGAGAATAGGTCATCAAATGGATTAAATTCCGCTCTCGAAAAATTACGTGAACGCCTGGGCACATCTAGAAAAGTCTTATTTATTTTATTATACGGTTATTGGTTGCCTCTGATACATGCTCATACCAATTGTTATCATTCAGTCACTCGTACACACATCCATCATTCTTACGTTATTTTCTCTCCCTTCTCTTAACTGAAGCGACTTTTTTTTTAGTACGTGTACGGAGAGGTTTTTTTTTGAGAAATAATATATATATAATATAATATAATAATATTTATATATATATATAATATAGCATCGTGTGTTAAATTACAATTTTCAATTACTTTTTAATGTATATAAAACACTTGACAAACAAAAACTGAACAACTTAGAGTCTTTTGCGGAGCTGCGCCGATGGTGGACACAGGCTAGACGACTCCCCCCTTTTTTTGCTATCTCTCCATCTTCCTCTCTCTCTTTCTCTCTCTCTATCGTCTATATATTTTTTTTCTTCCATATTCCGGCATACCTTGGGTATCTCGCGGAAGTATCGATCGTTTGGTCTCTAAGGCGCTAGTTTGTAATAACCTCGGGAACCTCGGAGGACAATTCTCACTTGATGGGAAAGTGTTGTGTATGTATGTGTGTGTTGGACGACTAGGATAAAAACGTTTCCTTTAGGCGCGCTACGATACCAGCAAGGCCAAGCCGCAACGGAAAACCATTGTGGAGAGAACCGGGCGAGACTTAGCTTCAAGCTTAGACAGAGAACTCGACGCGCGATGTCCTCTCGTATAATGCGCGAATGTTAACGACGGACGACGTGGTCGACGATTGTCGAGCTTTGTTGTCCTTGTTCCTCTTCCGCCTCTTATTGCATCTGTGTCTTTTCGGATTGCGATTTTGTGCCTGTGGGAGGATGATGATGGTGCGTGTCGCGGCCACGTAGCTCCTTGGAATACAGTCTGTATTTGTGTCCACAAGCGCGACACTCTTTTTTTATTTACAATTCGTCATGCTCCTGTGGAAAAGAAAAAAGAGAGACCGGAGAAGGAAGGTTGCGTTAGTGTCGTTGATCGTGGCGCCAGCGAGAGGAAAATAGAATTCAAACGCGCGCGCGCTTCAGAAAGGAAGAGAGTTCCAGTGTTGCTTCGGTCACGACGAATGTCAGAAAGAGTGAGTTCATAACGAGCATCATGCGCTGGTTCTCGTGAGAATCTTAAATCTGAAACGCATGGAGGAATGGGACACTTACTTCAGTATCTGGCTGAGTGTTATCTTCTTCATCTTGATCCTCGTCGTCCTCGTCGTCCTTACTGTCTTCGCTCTCCTTCGCTTCTTTGTCTCTCTGTTTCCTCTCCTCCTCATCCTGCGCCTCCTTCATCTTCTTCTCGCCTTCCTGCAATTTAGAGAACAAATTCGGGAGATCGTTCACGCGTGTGTCGAGTCTCACACACTCGTGTTTCGTTAGCGGAGCAATCAGTAACGAGGAATTCCAGCTGTTTATCGTTCATAGGAATCAGAAGCGGTTGTAACATCATGTGAATTACCGGTATTATCGGTAATCAGACGAACAAGTGAGAAAGAACACGTTGTCCAGTGAGTAAAAATTGAACGCTTACAAAGGTAGGCTTCCACACGTCCTCTCCGAATTTGCGCGCAACTTCCGGATCGTCGGTGACGAGCACGTTGTCGAAGATGGTGCCGGATTTCACCTGCCACAGGTCGAAGCCGATGGCACAGATCTCGTCGCGCTTGTAGAGATCCGGGTCGGGTATGTATTCGGGGTTGGGGATCTGGGGATGGATCCAAGGTCCCTTGTAGTTTGGATTGCTGATCTGCTTCGCTTTCCATTCGCCCTGAAGGAGCATTGAGGATAGTTTTAGAAGCGATCGCGAACTCGTAAATAAACGTCGATGTGTCTGTGTTGAAATTTGCCGTGTTTTTGCCAAGACGAGAAAGAACGAACGACAAGGACGAATAATAGAGGTAAAATCTACTAGATGGAAGTGTCGTCGATATCATCGTCAATCAATATGAACCTTGTAGTCAGGATTATCGATCATAGGCGCTTCCCACTCGCCGTCCATCTCGTCATCCCAATCGTCGGGCTTGGTGGCTTCGGGGTCGGGAATGTGCTCGGGTTTGTCCCAGTCCTCGGGTTTCTTATCCTCGGGATCGTCGATGGTCGGCTTGTCATCCCAATCCTCGGGCTTGCTCTGAGACGGGTCCGTGATCATCTTCGCTGGCAGGAAGTTCCAATCCTTCTCTAAATCACCGGACGACACTTCCTCGTTGTCGATGAGAACCTGAACGGTGTATTTTACGTTATTAGAAAATTGCTGGGCGGCGATGTATAGCAATATTATTATTTTTTTTTTTAATCGACATGCAGACATCTCCTCCAGCACTCGAATTCCACGAGGCGAACAGTAAGAAGGAGTGATTCTAGGCTCGACATTGGCTGCGTTCAACGGAGAAAGAAGATCAGTGAGCATTTAGTGATTATTGTCTATGATTCGAGCATTCTTTTAGATCCTCCCCGGATCTAGGAGGATGCACCAATCAGAAGCAATAATCATGAAGTGCTTACTAAGCTACTTTTTTTTGCTGAATGTAGACATTGCGACGACAATGCTCACACGATGATTCTTACGTTAAATGTTTCGCCCAATATTCTCACCTGGTACGTATTGTCAGGTTTAACGATCAGTGTGTATAAATGCGTGTAAACATCGTCCTTGCAGCGGATCTCCTTGTTGATCAGAAGATTCTTGCCCTTGTAACTGAAGATAACGTGAACCTTCTTTGTGCCCGGCCCGCAAATGTCAGGTCCTGTGTAAAAAAAAAAAAAATAATAGAATATCATCCGTAGTTAAAGATGATATTTAAATTTAACAAAGCGTATTTCTGAAACGTTTACACGACATACTCCTATATTTCAATTTCTGTGACCGCAAATTGCTAATATAATATTGCATTAAAATTAATTAGCTACCGTGATAAATGTATCTTATCAGGTGCCTGCGATATGTATGGATTAACATACACAGGGCATATGAAAAGAGTATTACTCTCCGAGATCCTCTAGCACTCACCACACACCGGTATGGCTAGTGACTCTAGGCTCGGATTAGTTAAACACTAGATAATCGTTAGCATAGTCCTGATAAGCACTCACCGAACATAATCTGATACGGACTCTCGCCGTGCATATCTTTCTGGTCGAGCGAGCAGTCGAATACCTTGACGTACCCACCGCCGCAGTCGATATTCTGTTCGTGCTTAACGGTGAATTGAATAACGAGGGTCTTATCCTTATTGCTAAATGGAGAGAACTTCTTACTGAGAGCGTAGAACCTCGCATCCTGCGACGTTTGAATACCTGAGGAAAAGGCAAACATTAAGTATTGCTTGTAAGTGAACTTTACATCGCACCGATGAATCTCCTTCAAGGCTCTACCTTTGTCATTCTCTGGATCGTTCCAGAATTTTCCATAACTTAAGACGAACTTCCCGAATTCCTTCCCAGGATGCTCTGAATAGACCCAGTTTTTCTCCCATGAATCTGAAATGTTAACAATTTACTTTCCTTACGATCCTCCTTCGTGTCTCTTCTTTGATATAAGAAATTGACCAATCACCGTCGAATTGTAAAAGAAAAATCAATTATGAATGGTTAATTTCTTAAATCTCACGCTTTAAATTCTCATTATAGATCTCACTTTATATAGCGAAGAGTGACAAAATCTGTAATCACGCTTGAAGCGATAGATGTTGTAAATGAGATATCGTAGGTGTAAAATAATCCTATTGTAAGCACAAGAATAAAAATGTAGAAATATACCAGATGTATGAGTAACGTATACGAATTTATGGAGAGGGGGGGAGGGCTTAAATCTGTAAGTTCACAGTCTTGAAACTTAAATTCAGTGAGATAACCTCTCCCCCCCCCCCCCNCCCCCCCCCGTAAAAAGATAAAATGCTCTGTCCACCTTCAATAATCTGTACTCTCCGGCTTTTGCACTTCGCACGTTATACTTTCTCGCAAGTTACACCTTTTCTACACCCGTAATAAAATAAACACATATCTAAGAACAGGCGCGGAGGAAAAGAAGCAAGAAAATCGAAGCGGAGAAAATGCAATCGGAGGAAGATGCAACGAGCATAAGTCGAAGAAGAAAGAAAAGGAGAGAGAAAAAAAAAGAGTAGTCCATCGTTCTCCAGAACTTTCTGCCCATCGCAAACGAGAGACAGCCATGACGCGTGGCACGACGACGAGCGGGGGGCGCACAATGAAGCGGTGCGAAGAGGCCGGCGGAAAATTGCGCAAAAAATATCCTACCGGTCGCGAGGATTCGTTTCCGCGAACTGGAAAGCACCGATATAGAAAAAAAAAACGAACTTCATCGCGTCGTTTACCGCTAGCCGAGCCGAGCGCGCACACAGATCGACGAATCGATCTGGCGGCGTCATGTCGGCGAGATGCCGCGCGGCGATCGCCACGAGAGACGACTTCCGACTGCGTGTCGCAGTCTCTCGGTGCCTCTTTCTCTCTCTTTCTCCGGCGCGCCGATAGCAACGCATATGGCCGATACGCCGTTTAAAGTGAAATACGGTACATATCCATCGAGAGACCGTTGCTCTTGTCGGTCCTCACAAGGGACATACAGGTGCGCTTTCGAATCCGGCAACGATCGCCGTGTAGCCGAGAACATAACGGCTCTCTCTCTTTCTCTCTCTCATCGAGAAATAGAGAGAAGGATGAAGGGAAGTGAGAGACAGAGCGTCGTCGAGTCGAAGAGCGACGAGATGGAGTACAAGGGCGTGCGGTTACCAAGAAGGAAAAGAGAGAGAGAAAGAGAGAGAGAGTTCGTCGTCGCCACGCCGCGCCATTCCTGCGATCAGGATTTTCTCTCTCTCTCTCTCTCTCTCTCGGATCGAGCCGCCGCGTTGTCCTCTCTCGATCGGGAGGGATGCGGTACGACGCGGTACGCGATGTGGGGTGTGGTTGCTTCCCCGTAAGAAACCGCGCGAGATTTATACACATACAAGGATCGTCGTCCTCGCGCAGGAAAACGTTTCAACTTCGAGCGGGCAGGAAGAGGAGGCGAAGCTGATCGGTCGGTCGGTCGAGAGAGAAATATCGGCCGGGTAGTCACCGCGGCTTTTCCGTTCGCGGAGTTCGCCCCGCTGGCGGACGCTGGTTTACTCACCGTCGTTGAACTTCTCGTCCAGGTAGACCTCCGCGTTGGCCGCCACCGCAAGCGCCAGGAGGACGACGACGAATGCGCCAAAGGACTGCATTATGTGTTCTTTTTTTTCCGATGGACGCCGGGATACGGCCGAGAGAGAGCCCGCGGAGAGACTACTGGAGAATCTGCTGCCGCCACGACGAACTGGCCGATAATGCCTGTACGGCGGCCGTGGTTGGTGAGTTTAGCGGCCCGTCAGGGCAGACAGATGGAGAACGCCGATTGGCGGAGCCGGGCGGACCAATCGCCACCGACCACGCTTTACCAACGAAGCGCCGCGCCGTGGCACCGTCACGGCTACGCCGCGCGCGCCGCACATAACCTCCGCGTCATCCCGCTGATTATCGCGCCCGCTTATCAGTCGTCGATACGACAGCACTTGGTCGAAGGCGAGAGAGAGCGGAAGCCGACGGAAACGCCCGGAGGCACACGAAGCCGTGGGTGCTCCCGATTGGTGGCTGGCAGTGCCGCTGCCCAAGATGAGCGTCGAAGTTTCGAACGCGCGCGCGTTTCTCGTGCTCTTTCTCTCTCTTCCTGCGGAAAACCGAACAGGACTCGCTGCCAGCGAATTTCATGGATGGATTGGTTGGGATATCTATCGATCCTGGAGCGTGAGAGGATTAACGATGGGAATGCGAAGGATGTTCGAGTCTTACCTGGTGTATCCGTGACGCTCGATATCAGGTGTGTCACAGCAATTGTTTTAGGAATTTCCTTGAGAAATTTTCTTAAATACTTGTGCACGAGAAACAGCTTCTGATATCGTGTTTTTCTATTCTAATCAAATAATATAAATAATCAAACTACTCATGATGATATTAAACAATATTATTTTTTTAAATATTATTAGAAGTGGGCATATAACCACCTATTAATATTCCAGAAATATTACTTAATATTAAATAATATTAAGGTCATTTATAGGTTATTTTCAATGTTGAACTCTTTCGCGTTATTATCGATATTTCAATCTCGGAATAATAATTGTCGCACTTTCAAACACGATTGCTAATGTCTCCGGGAAGGCAATTATCGCGGATTGCTCCGTACGGGCGTCAATATTTCAAGCTTTTGCGGAAATTTAACGGAGCGCGATCGCCATCGAAGCAAGATGCCACCGACGCCAACCTCGTCGACGTAATTCACACTGATGGCTCGCAAGATTTCACGGACGGCTTCGGTTTACTAAAGCCAATCGGACATATCGACTTTTTTCCTAACGGTGGCAGGGAGCAACCCGGCTGTGTTGACATTAAGAATTCGGTAGTGGTTAGCCACTTGAAAGATATAAATTGAGAGCGCTTCAGTTACAATTATACTAAAAATAAGTATTTGGTATTTGCAACCATTATAGCACAGTAAAAGAATTTTAGTCAGGAGAATCATTTCTATAGTATATATTATTATAGTTAATAATTAATGCGCAATGAAATAAATACGTCATGGAGAACGGTCGAAATTTATTAATGAATAGTTCGCGCCGCGTCCAGTTCGCGCCGCTGCGCGTCGATGTAAACAAATGAACGTAGTTATTTACCTATTGCGAGTCACCAACATTTTTCTTCACTCATTTATTCGAAATTTAATAAGGAATCGAAATATCTAAACATTATCGTCGTAACTGATTGAGAAGTACATGTAATCTCTAATCGTTTATGATCGCCTCCGCTGCGGCGCTGCGCGTCGATGGTAAATAACTGATCGTTATTAGAGGTATGTACGCCGACCGTACGTTTCCTTAGCGACGAGAAAGCAAACTCGTCATGAAACTCGGCGAGAACGAAACACGTCCCACGAAACGTGACTCACTTGAAAACAGAATCTCTCGCACTACTCGTTAATTCCATTAATAATTCAAATTTACAAGTGACGTGTGACGTAAAGCTGGGAGTGGAGAGGAGCTGAATCGGAAGATCGGAAGAAGAAAAAGGAAACCGGAATGCTCTCCTCAAAGGCGAACGCGGCGTTAACGCGTGTGAGAGAGATCGAGGAGAAATATAAGTTGAAGCGCAGAGAGCAGAGATGGAATCGCAAGGACGTGAGTACGCCCGAAAGCAGGGCGGTATAACAATCTGCGTTTCGAAAATTTCGCTCACCACGGCCGGTCGCTGTCAATAGCTTCTAGTTTTCTACCGCTGCACTGGTTGCACTAGCTTGTACTCCCCATAAGCTAGGGCGCAATATCCCTAGAACATTATATGAATATTATTCAGTATTAAAATAATATTCTTATAGTATTCTAAGAATGTTATGTAATATTTTTTAATAGTATAAGAATATTCTATTGATGTTACATATTCATTTCATATATTCTTGGTATATTATAAAAGTGTTCTTAGAATATTAAGAAAAAGTAATAATGTTGAAAAAAAAAATATATATATATATAAGTTATATCGTTAATGGGAAATTTTAACATTGTTATAATGTTATACTGTTAGTTGTCGTTTGTCGTGTTTTCACAGGAGTCTTTCTGTTTCTATCATTGAGTTTTCATCTATTTTTTCTACGCAAACAGAAATTCAGTTACACGAATTGAATTTTCTCTTCGTGTGTAAAAAAAAATAAAATAAAAAGAAGCAATTAGGAAAAAAAATCAACAAACATTTGTCCCATCATTTACTTTTGTTCCTGTAACAACACGATATTTCGCGTTTCTCGCAGGACACAGACAGTTCGATCAGCAGCGTCTCGTTGAATTTGTCGGAAAACTCGCCGACACAATTGAAGGACTCACCGGGAAACTCTCTAAAGCCCAAGCTCGACGTAAAAATGCCGGATATAAGATTCGAGGGACACGATGAGAGCGAGAAACTTCCATCACAGAATGAGCGATCTGATAGGATGAACCAGGCTGTCGACGAAGCTGACCTTGATGTCGTGACGCCAACGTCGGAAGATAAATCGTCGTCACGTTATTCTATAGGAAAGCAAGAAAGTTTCGCCTCGGGTGTAATAACGATTCAGGAAAATAGCTCGATTGAAAGCGTGCCCGATGACTCGGTGATCTCGTCGAAATCACTTTCGCGCTCGGAAACGCGACGGTCTTCCGCCGCTAACGAGAAATTTTCCAGACTTCCAGCAGGAAGAACGAAAGCTGGCTCAAAGTCTGAGAAAGGTAAGTCCGACAAAATAACTGTAATGTCGAAAGAAAAATCGTCGTCCGATTTATTATTTGCAGGACGACCGAAGATGTCCAAAAAATCGATCGAAAAGGTTTCTGAGTCACATTCCAAAGACTCGAAACCAGGGGAACGTTCGATCGAAGGGAAAACGATTCCTGAGACACCGATGAGAGCAAGTTCTGGCCGAAGTTCGGGGAATTCGAACCGTTCTTCAGGATCATTATCATCGCATGCGGATAGCGTTATCGACGAGTCGATCGACACGTCGGTGGACGGCAGTGAAACGATCTCGGAACTTTCTCACGTCGAGAAAAGCGAAGAAAAAATCGCAGGTAGCTTCGGGAACGTCTCCGGCAATTCCGTCAGCAATCCCGGACGTTCGTCAATCGAGAACGCTTTAAGCAGACTAAGATATCCGATAGATGGGAACTCGTACGCGAACGACACCTTCGAAGACACCTCGAGCTCGGCCGTGCGATCGAAATCGGGATCGCGGAGCGAGAGAACGATCGGTGGGAGTGAAAATAAAGTCGGCTCGGTGGACGATCGCGATAGTTCGAGTAAGGAACTTACGTCGGATCATGTTGTAAACGTCGAGATGATTAACAACACGAAGACGACGACGGACAAAAGAGCGTCCCGGAGAAAGAAGTCCTCGGACGTGACTCCGGTGAGCCGGCGAGAAAACGATCGGGAAGAGCGCGGGAAAGTGCCGGACGATACGAGGGAACATCTGATGATGGATGTCGTCGTCGGGTCGCTCGCGGACGACTGGGAGAGGACGATGAAATCTGATTCATCGAGAAATGACGCGGGCAGATCGACGAAGTCGGCTTCGTCGAGAGAGAAGACTGAACCGATGGAGTCCAGATCGTTGAGGGAGAAAAGCGAATCGACGAAGTCTTCGTCGAGGGAAAAAAGCGAGAGAAGCGGCGAGGACGCAAACGTCCCTGCGGAAGGCTCGGACCGGCGAATCGTTCAACGGAACGTGACGAACGTGCTGAGAAAATTGCACCGAGACTCCGTCGACGCGGTGGTCAGGCGACACTCGAGCTTGAAAGCCGCGGAAAAAGTTCACGAAAGTTCTTCCGGGAGGAGGCCCGAAGCCTCGGAGGCGACGCCGGGGCGAGTGACGAGGAGGAGAGAAGACAGCCGTCGCCGCTCGTCGGGGAGAGACAAACCAGTTGTGAGTGTCGATATGTTTCCGTCGCGGTTCTACCGTATTTCCAAACGCAATTTCTCCCTTTGTGAATAGCCTTAATTGTCCTCTCTTCAGGCCGGGAACAATGATGAGCACAGCATCAAGAGGAGGAGGAGGAGAGCTAAGGTCACTTACTCCGAGCTGGTCGAGGCTCGCGCCGGAAGTTGTAAAGAATACGAGCCTTCGAGATGGCGGGACGACGACGGGAGAGAAATTCGTGAACTACAGAAGCGGGTTGTTGAACTGAGACTGCGGCGGGAACGGGAAGATCTCCAAAAATATCTACACGAACTGAGGGACTTGAGACTGGGTGGAGGATCGGCTTCTACCCCGGACTATTTCAGTCCCTCGGAATTTCCGAGGATCGCGGAATTCACGCCACCCGGTGAGTTGTATGTTCAATGACAAAAAAAAAAGGCTTGGCAATAATCTTCGATTGAGCTACTGTTATCTCGCAGTACGCTTACGTCGCGGCAAAACATATTTCCTTCGCGGAGAGAAAGTGTCGATTGAATCGATGTGAAGAGCAACGAACTAAATGCACTTGTTATCGATGAAGAAAATAGAATTTCTAATTCTTATGAGCTCCGGTTTTCAGAACCAGAAATTCTGCTTCCTCCAATCGAAACATATTTGATCAATCCATTTTCTCCTGTATTGTTGATAACACAGACAATGAAATATATTTGTCGAGTAACTTTAATCACAACGTTTCTTATAGATTTTCCGTTACAAAAGGCGACAGCACTGAAACTTAAAATCTAACGTGATGGAACAATTTGTGAAAAAAAATCTATGAGAAAATTTACAAGAAACACCTATTCTGAATCAAATGACTTCATAAACTTTTTCTCTTCGACCTGTGTAATTAATTTTGTCACTGCTAACTTTCATTAAAAGTCCAACAAGTATCCATTTTATTGATTAAAAATACATTCATCTTGTATAACGAAACCAACTCCGCCATTTTACTTCGCACATTTTCCTCACTTTTCGTTACTCTCGCGATTTATATGTCGTCTTATCGAGCGGGTCCAAAGTCGGTACCGCGGCGAACACTCGGCAAACAATCGCGTTCTCCAGCGATGAATAGAAGGAATCCGTATTGTGCCGAAACAATGAAAACGTGGACGACACGCAGCGGAGCCGCATGACGGGCGCGTTAAATACATTTCGCGTTCGATTGGAGATACACTTGGAGACGCGCGTTACGCGCAACGTTTTGCAAACATTACGCGTATAACGGATAATTTCCCATTCGATGATGCGTCTCGCGATCGAAATCGTGAATTTTTAATATTTCAAAAATATGCGATATTCCTTCCAGACCCGCTTGAGTTTGAGCCGACATCGAGACCGGACGATCAGCTCGCCGTGCTGCGCGAGAGAGTTTCGGCGATCAGGCGACAGCTGAAGGATCAATATATCCTGTATCGTGACTACTGCGCTGTGGCGCAAGCGATCAATGCCCGCTACGTTCCCACGACGTTGGAGGATACCAAAAAGGTTGGTATTTTTCATTCAGGTAATTCTCTCTCTCTCTCTCTCCGGCTTGTTATCTATCATTCGTCAAACTAAAACGCGGTATAAACGCGATCTTACACAGACAAAAGTGCACAATTGCAGTAAATTTTAAATTAATTCAATATTATTGAAATCGATACACCGTTTCACCGTCTTAACAACTACGGTGTTAGTTTTAATGATATTGCTATAGAGAATATCAAATAGAGAAGATTGACTTCAATTATTGGCGCGTTGTTGGAAATTCTATCGATTCAACAGCGTATTAATCAGTTAACTCGATGAAATATTTCATTACGAACAGCTGCAAAGGCAAGTCTCACGCGTCGCGTTTTATTAAAAACCTTATCAGGGCGTATGGCAAGATTTTAGTAAAAAATCTACGCTATCTATCTTATCATCATGCGCTAGAGATTCTCTCGATTCGATAGCATTTTTTTCTTCGTGCATTAATCGTTTAGTTCATCGCGATACTTTGCGAGCCGCTAAGTTGAGGAATTAATCTCACGTCTTGCGGTTTGTTAAAAGCCTTATCACGGCACGCACAAATAATACAGCAGGATTTTATTTTAAATAATCTCCCACACCGTTTCATTGTCATTCATCGTTATATCGGCCGACGCCCACGTCACGAATATTGATATAATTCGAGCATCCGGTGCCGCTTTCCTGATGCAAGTAATTACGTGTACTCTGACGTAACGAGATCCGAAATAGCCGACACGATGACGTACCGTACACGAGGCACCTACGTCACATGCGGCGTTCGCTCGATGTTTTTCTTTTTTTTTTTTCGCACATCTTCGCGCATAATACGCGGTCAAAGGGGAAAGGGCCGTAGAGATTCTCTTTTACGAGCCTAGGAAGCGGTCAGGTGTCCTTATACTTGTGCGTATGTGTGCGTATCGGCCGGCTGTGCAGGTAGGCGAGAGAGTATGTTAGTCGACGAGGACAATGGGGACGCAATAAAGAGCCGAATAAGGAAATGAACGCGGTTAACAGTGCGCTCGAGCGCGAGGAAGCTTTTTCGCTCGTTCGGACGTGATCGTGAAAGTGTCTTTTCGAACGAGATCTCTCTCTCTCTCTCTCTCTCTCTCTCTCTCTATATATATATATATATATATATTTCGTTTGCAGACGATACGCGAGCTGCGGGAAAAGCAGATTAAAATCAGATGACGACGTCGCCGCACCGCGCGAGACGGTGGTCGTACGAACGGGTCGAGCGTCGAACTTGGCGATTTAGAAGCCGACTCGAATACTTTGAAGTCGTGAGTATCTGAAGATTAAAACTTTCAACATCTCCAATTTGATCTTGAGACTTTCAACGTTACATACGTCACAACTACGCCTCGCTGATCGGTCAAATGTGTGGTGTGATGAAGTGTAGACTGAGAAAAAAATGTTTAGTTTTGTAACTATAGTCGCATAAGTGAGAGAATTACAATCGAGTGAACTATTTTTCTGGTAAGTGTAACTACATTTTCTGTGACAAGAATTTTTCACGTGGTATATTTCTGCTACTATTTCTGGATTAAATCCAGAAGATATGAGATACTTGAGAGAAAGATTTCTTCAAATTTGATCATTCTTACCGCATCCAAACAAATTTCATCATTGGTGTGATCCGAAGAAACAAATATTTTGACTAATAAGTACGATGGTTAGGCTTTTCAACGAATACGTATCTTTATCTTAAATAAAAAATTTGTTCGAAGCGAAAGATAATTTTCTTATAAAGAAATTATTCAATTTCATTTTACATATTTATCGTAACCAAATAATATTTTATTTGCTTAAAAGATATTATTTCAAATAACGTTAAACAGGGAGAATTATGTAATTATGTAATGAAAAATGTAAAAAAATTATGTAAGGCGAGTTATATAATCGTCATCTTTTCCATATCAATCAATGGTGGTTGATACTTTTTGCGCATTTTTTCAATCAATAAATAAATAAGCGTGTTTAGAGATTGTCGGATGTTGTGACTTCATTGACGAGGATAAAATTTTTTGATTTGTAAACAACCACTTTGTTACGATAGGAGATTCGTATCATTGGATAATGATTTTCTTGATGAAATCGAAACTGAGATTTCTCCCTTATGCAATTACTAAGCTAACTGTGCAACATATTTGCGCTTCCGGTGTGTGTGCGTGCGCGTGAGTTGTGAAACTTCGTGAAAATTACTCGCACATCGCCAGCTCCTACGCGCGAATTGCAGAATGATATGAAATGCACAAGGGGAAACAGACATTACAATATACCCTGAGTAAACATCGCTGACCGGCATTAAGTGACCACCATTACCCCGTATTCTACCCTAAATTTTGCGCTGCCACGAAAAATCAATAATGGATTTGGCATACTTGATTTTACGCCGATGAAAAAGGAAAAACAGTATTATACATATTATGCAATTTGTAATCTTGAACCGAGAAACACTGCTATTTTCCCGTTTAAAAAAACCTAATTTAAATGACAAAATTTCTGTCACCTGCATGTATCAACTTTTTAATTTTTAACATCAAATATCTTCATAATTAGCATAAAAATCGGACGCGTGAGTTGTTTTATAATTTAAAAGAAAATTTAAATTAGTAATTTATCCTTTCTCTTTGCACAATGCTCATATAATTATATGATATAATTTACGATATTTCACACAGTTTTATAATTTATAATATTTGTCTTTAAATTAATATTTATTTATAATATTTTACATAGTTTACATTGTGTCTACGTAAAAAAAGTAAATATCACGTGAACGATAAATTACCTATGTAGATCTAATATTAAAATCTCCGGCGCAATTCCGGTCGACACAATACTGAAGGTCGGAGAAGAGAAGAAAAAGGACCCGAGGAAGAAGATCCTTTTGATCCATCGGTCACGAGTTCCGAAATGAGCCGAGCAAACGAAAAGCGCGCGATGTATCCTCCGTACACAAAGCAGGTGGACTGCGTTGACCCCCCGCGCGTTATTGGACGAACTCAGAGCGCGTCTATCGCCACGGAGCGTGGGAGACGCGCGGCGGCGGCGCGCGTCGTGCGACGGCGCACGCGAGCGAGCGTACTGGCGCGCCTTCATTGACGTGCCTCCCGTTCCTCTCGTGCAGTTTCGAAGTAGTCTCGCGACTGTCGAGAGCACGTTAACGCACCGCTCCGTACTCCGTGCGAGAAAGAGAGAGAGAGAGAGAGAGAAAGTTCACCGATCCTGCGAAGCAGCTCTCCGTGGCCGAACACCGCGCTTCCCTCCGACTTCTGCTGTCACGTGCGGGGTCATCCGCGGGCTTCCGCGTGCGGGGTGCGACCCCGGTGTGTGTCTCCCCTTCGCCGCCGTGGAGGAGGAAATCGGCGAGCGAGCAAACGCCAGGGAGCGCCGGCATTTCCGGTAAGTCGACTCTCGTTTACGGTAATTCTGGGATGGCTGGACACTTCGCGCGCGCTGAGGGTGAGTCGTGAATCGAAGGAGCATATATAGTCCCTGTGTCAATATTATTGTGAACGTATCTTAATTTATTTTGTCTTTTTTTACAATTCATCGACTTCCGAGGACCAGCTTTTTCTATAATACGGCTCATCTATAGATTGAATTACGTTAAGGAATCATTGTTTATGGAAGTTTTTTATTTATTTATTTTTTTAATTAATTTTTTATATATCACTTGGTTGTTCAAAGTGACCTTGAACAAGTACGAACAAGCACGAACCTGCGCTAGTTGCGTCGTTGATGATAACGAGAACAGACGTGAGTTTTCAGTGTGTGTCGATTGGAAATTTAGTTTTATTTTTATTTACGTTGTCACTTGAAACTTCAAATTCCTCGTTTATGAAAAATGGAAAAATAAATTTTTGCGTGAAAAATATTAATATCATTTACAAAGATTATGGATGAAACGAGTGATTTGATCAACACCGAAAATTATTCTAATCAAGCAAACATAAAATTAGTAGCTTTCCTTCTCCTCTTAATCTGTATTCTATTAAAAAATCAAAATGCGTCTAATAATGTGGCTAGAGACTGTACGAAGTGTTCCTTAACGATGAACAGGCTGTTCCATAGCACTCGTCAGCGGAGAGGCGCGAGAGGACTCGCTCGCTCCGTGAGGGAGTTCCTTCGTTTCTCCTCTCGCCATGTCTTCCTCTTCACAGTTGCCGAGGTTGACCGAGGTTAAGATTCACTCGAAATCGGCCACGTTCGCTTGGCGAAACCCCTATTTTTTCGCAGACCGTTATAAATTTTCCGAGATTGGATTGTTCTCTTAGATTCGGGGGAAATAGTTCGATCTCAGCGTAGAAAACTTGTGCAACAGTTGTGAGATAAACGTTGTTCAGCCGAACGCGGCTATCGCTCGAGAATGAAGCCAGTAAGCGTATTAAGTAAGAAATCATTAACACAATTTGTTATTATAATGATATAACGTAACGTTTTCAAATATGTAATTCTTAATATTGCATACAACGTCATTGTTAACGATATTTGATCGAAACATGAGAAATAATGTTTCCACATTATGATTTTAATATTAAAACATAATATATCATCAAATAACAGTTTAGGAACATTTGTAAAATATGTCAAAATGTTGATAAAACCACGCGAAACCGATGTTCCGAAAGATTGATTTAACGTTTCTTGCTTACTAAGAAAAAGAGTTTCTTCGGAGCGGTGATGAGATTTGTTTGGATGCGATAAAATTTATTAAACTTGAAGAAATCTTTTTCTCAGTGCGGAAGCGACACAGTCGTGGCGCTCGGAGAAATGGAACTTTTCGATTTAAGATTCTCCATTCACCCGGCCGTAGTAAATGTGCGCTTAAAAGTAGTCACGCGGGGTTAGAGGAGGAGGAGGGGGGGGAATCGATCCCATGATTGTGACTTTCTTTGCATAAGTCTCTCGCGAGGGGATTTTACTACAGTCGCTACGCGCGCTGCGCCGTGATTGTAGTAGACAATGAAAATGAAAAGCAACGTGAGCGCGCGAATTGAACGCACTGACTCGTGGAAATCCGACGTGCGACTTTGACGTTGAATTGATAAAGAGCGCGCGCAGCCAATTAGCGACGGTGCGGTGCCGTCGGCCGATGGAAATTCTCTCTTTCGACCGGCTCACAGTCGGCGAGTCTAATTGCAATTCGGGGTGGAAGGAAGGGGGGTCTTTACGATAGGCGACCCGATAAGAATAACATGAATAACGATCGTGTGTCGCTTCCTTCCTGGAATCTAACCTCGCGTCCTTCCTTTCAAGACGCGACGATCCTCCTCCTGATTTCCCGATCCCGCCGGAAGGAAAAATCTCGGTTCAGTCTGTGAACCAAACGAGGATCCGAGGGATTGTAATTCCTTTAACGCGACCGAGCATATTCGTGTGAACGCCGCATTAACACTCCGTGACACTTTGATAAGAAATAGCTCTCAGATCGCAGGTTTGATATCATCAATCGCGAATCGATCGTTATCGCCGCTGTCGGCGAATCCTCGGCGAGTTCTCGGCGGGCTTATTAGCCTCGGACGAGCGCGAATCGAGGTCGATACGCGCGCGAGCGCGATACGTGTTATCGATGCGCGCGATTTGTCCGCGGAGAGCTCACATCGAGAGATCACGTGTGCCGTTTTCTAATATCCGTTTCTACGAGGAAGGTGACCCTAATGCGCGACCTTTCTCCAGAGAGAACGATGCGAGACGATAAGAGCTCCCCCGAGGTCTGAATCGGACGATGGACTGTGGATACAAATCGAAGATCGTTCAAAATCGATCCGAGCGCATTTAAGGCCGAATTTCGCCGTGTATTCTACGTGTCGACAAGAGAGAAGTTAACGGGCGTAGCATCGTCGTAGTAGATTTTAACTTAACTATAGGCCGTCCAGATAGGCGCAAAGAAGTACCCTTAAAGTATCCTTAAGAGGTATTTTCAAGAGCGTTAAAGTAACGTCTAAATTCCGACAAAATTACAAAGCTTTTACTTTACTCGAACACTTTGTCCATATTTTCGATTCATATTTCGTGCGAAAGGAATGCTTTTCTTGAAACTTCCCTTCGCGGCTCAGGGAGTTTAAAGGATACGAGCGTTAGGCTTCCGACTATCGTTGTTAAATTCACTCGCGCGTGGCCTTTGACCCGAAAGAACACATACCCGACAGCTCTCCCTGTGTAGCACCTTATTGTCGGCGGGCTGCTTCCGAAAGGAAACCGAAAATGGTCAAGCCGAGTGATTCTGATGACTCTGATAACCATACTGATGTATACACCACCGTTATTCTTGCTCTTACATCTTTCTTTTCATTTCTCTTAAATATTCTATTATTTTCTATTCTATTCTATCGATAAACCAAAAAGAAATTCTAGAGGCGTCTCTTATTATTGACATGCAAAGAAACCCAAAGTTGATAACTTTTGCATCTCGAGATTCCCGATTGATCAGTCAACTTCGACGGAATTTGCTAAGTTGATGTAGAGAATCGACATTTTGACTCTGCTTGCTTTCCCTATTCGACGTTAATTAATTACGAGACATATCGTTAACGATAGCAACGATAAACCGATAGTAGCGCAGAGTAAGTAGCATTAATTAAGGGATAATGGCTCGACAATAATTAGGCGTTAACGTAAATTAAGTAGCGAGGTGATCTAATTTCTTTTTAGACACGATTGTAACAGATAGACAACCGGTGATCACACGGTCCGATGTTCCTGTTCGAAAAACTCAGCCTCAAGCGCACCGTTTTTGTTTTTATCCTTTAATTGTTTAATGTTTTTATTATCCTTCGAAGCTCGCGCGCACGCGAGATCTCTTAGAGAAAAAAGAGGAAACGAACTGCGACGCAGTTTGCGATCCGCGGGTCAGTCGGTCCGCGATTCGTTGACCCCGTAATAACGAATGACCTTTCGGGAAATGTCACGCGTGTGTCGTCGGTAAAATTCAACGTATTATTAGCGCATCCTCTCGGGCGATATCGTTAGTAATTATCGCGTCGTGTCACCTTTGTTTGTCGCGATTGAACGTTCAGTAACTGCGACTCTTGACCTTCAGCAGCTTCACCGGACGGACGGACGGATAGATGGACCTCTTTATGCGCCGGGACGTCGCGACGTGGAAGCGATTTTTATTGCGCCGCATCCTCGGCTCCCTTCTTCGGTTAGGGGATCGATCGAACGGCACGTGCGACGTCGTATTTATAAATAACGCGTTTCTCAATGAAAACGAGAAAATATCGCCGCGCGACCGGCGTTGCCGGTGTACCCACACGCCCACGTATTATTGCAACGTTATTTATTTGTAAATTTATTTATTATTATTTATCTGTTTATGTACTTGTAAAATTGGACGACTTCCTTTTCCGTGTATCTATTTTCGCGTCGTCTTCGTGTTTCCTCCTGCGTCGCGCAGGAGAGCCTTGAGCGCCGGCCGAACGGCGTCTCGAGGATCCATTGTCTTCTTCTTCCTACGCTCGACGCGTCCTTTCTTCCGTCTCCTTCCTACTTTCCTTTTTTTTCTCCTGCACGCTGCGCCGCTAGATTGACCGCGGAAACAAAGAACGTTGCTGTTCGCGCGAGCGAGAAAAGGAGAAGAGGCGACGTCGCCGAGGGGAGAAAAAAAGGATCGGGCGGGTCGAACGAAATTTTCGATACACTGTGTTAACTTTTGTAATAACAACGTGAAGCAATCTGGAAGCGTCGTTGTCGGTAATGATGAGCACGTTTTTACACGGCCGGCTTCCACAGCCTTGACTTTACGAGTCTTCCCCTTCGAATATTTATCACGGCTTCCCTCGTCGATGAGCAAAGCCAGCCGGAAATTGGCGCTATGGGGGTGGAGTGAGTCATCGTCCGTTTCGTACAGGGGGTGCGTGTAGTCATCGGCGAAATTAATCAGCCCCAGCGGTCATAAGCGCCCTCCCCCATTATGGCGCGAATGATCTCTCGTCGTTCGAAACATTCTGGCGAGATGCTCCGACGAGCCGTTTCGGGAATTCGACGTAATTGCCATCGCGTCGGTCCCCAACTCGGGAATAGTCACTCGGGGTCATTTCATACCCCAGGTGATCGTTTACGTTAAAAAACAATAAGGTGACTGTTCCCGGGTTAACTCGCACGAGTCGAGCACGCTTTTGTTAAAGCGGTCGAGACGATCACGGGCGTGTCGAGCAGGCTGAGCGGACCGACGGCGTCTTATTCGTACGACGAAACACGAGCGCGACGAAACGGACAGGAACGTTCGCTGGACGACGGCGACAGAATCGTTTTGTTTTCCCGGCGGATTCGGCACGAATCCCTTTCTACTTCGGCCGGAGAGTACTCGCCTAAAAATACGACGCGACTCGCGAGGAGGAATGGAATCCCCCTTCATTCTTCCCTTTCGTTGGCCCGCCATTGAGCGCGGATCGGCGGAC